TTTCCGCTAGAGAGCGCGCAAGACCCCGATGTGGGAATTAACTCTTTGCAGACCTACCAGCTCAGTGCCAACCCGCACTTTGCTCTCGACGTGCAGACGAGGGTGGATGGCAGCAAGTACGCGGAGCTGGTGCTAGAGAAGGAGCTGGACAGAGAGGAGCAACGGGAGCTTCATCTGGTCTTGACTGCGCTGGATGGAGGCAGCCCACCAAGGTCGGCCCACGTGCAGATCCACATTGACGTTGTGGACGCCAATGATAACGCCCCGGTCTTCAATCAGTCCACTTACAAGGCAAGTGTGAGGGAGAACACGCCCAGCGGTACCCTGGTGGCCAAGATCAGTGCGTATGATCTGGATGATGGGCCCAATGGAGACATCATCTATTCCTTCAGCAGCCATACACCCGCCAAGGTACGAGAGCTCTTTGCTCTGGACTCAGCCACGGGGGAGTTGAGGGTCAACGGGCAGCTGGACTATGAGGAAGCGAAATTGTACGAGATATACTTACAGGCTAAAGACAAGGGTGTTGTTCCTGGCGTGGCTCATTGCAAAGTGCTGGTGGAAGTCGTGGATGTAAATGACAATGCTCCAGAGGTGACAGTGACTTCTGTGTACAGCCCTGTGCCCGAAGATGCGGCCCCAGGGACAGTTGTAGCTCTGCTGAGTGTAACGGACTTAGACTCCCATGACAACGGCCTGGTGAACTGCCTCATTTCCCCTGGGATCCCGTTCATGCTCAGCTCCTCCCTCAAAAATTACTACACATTAAAAACAAAAGCAGGTCTGGACCGGGAAAAGGCATCGGAGTATAACATCACTATCACAGCCAAGGACTCGGGCTCACCACCCTTGTCTGCAGTGAAACAGATCCTGGTGCAGGTGTCGGATGTCAACGACAACGCGCCCAAATCTTCCCAGGACTCCTATGATGTGTATGTGCTGGAGAACAACATACCTGGCATCCCCATCCTTAATGTGAGCGCCACAGACCCGGACCTTGGGCGCAACGCCCTTCTCTCCTATACCCTCTTGCAGGGTGACCCCACTGTAGGCCACCTCTTCTCCATCAACCGGGAGAATGGCACTCTTTACCTGCTCACCTCCCTGGACCATGAGGACCAGGTGGAGTTCCACATGATGGTGCAGGTCCAGGACGGTGGCTCTCCGCCTCTGGCCACTAACATCTCAGTCAGTGTGTTTGTCACTGACATCAATGACAATCCCCCAACTGTGCTGTACCCTCACCCCAATACCACTGCCACCTATACCGATGTGGTGGCACCAGGCACTCCTGCTGGGCACATGGTCACCAAGGTGGTGGCAGTGGATGCGGATGCAGGGTACAATGCCTGGATATCCTATACCCTGTTGAAAGCCACTGACCCCAGTCTCTTCTCAGTTGGTCTGCACAGCGGGGAGATCTTCACGGCCCGCCAGCTCCAGGAGGATGACCCTCCCCAGCACACGCTAGTCATCCTCCTTAAAGATGTCCACCAGCGCCACTGTCTCCATCTCTGTGGCTGAGATGGTCAAGGAGGTGCTCACTGACGTTACTGACATGGCACCTGCCAGTGATCCCAGGAAGCATGTGACTTTCTATCTCATCCTGGCTGTGATTTTGGTGTCAGCAGCTTTTTTCATCACCATTTTGTCAGTGGGCATCTTCAAGTGCTACAAGTGGAGGCAGTCAAAGGAGATGTTCAACAGCTCCAGGAGCACCCTGTACAGGACACCAGGGCCCTTCCACCACATTGATGCTGTGCGGGGTGGCTTCACGCCCCCTAACTTCTACCACCAGGTCTATCTCACTACGGATTCTCGACAAAGTGATGTCCTGTGTAAAAAACCCTTCACTTCCAGCCCTATGGGGAGCTGTCAAAGCACCATGAGGAATGGTGAATCAGGGCTGTACCACCAGATCGTGGGCACTGCCAGCCGGCTCCCTGCACCTGCTGAGGTAACGTAGCTCCTTCCTTAGTCTATCCCAGTGCTGGGCAGAGACAAGGTTCTTCCATGCCATATATATATGGGAGTAGACTGGGGGGAATGTCCAGTTGCACCATGCCTCTGAAGAGTGGTTAGCTGCAGCTGACCAGGTCTTTAGAGTCAAAATGAGCTGTCCTGAGCAACAGTGACCTTTGCACTGTGGTCAGCAGGATCAAGTCTGTCTGCTTGAGTTGGAGAACATATCTCTTTCCAGTACAGTTTTGGGTGCGCCTTGTATGAGTAAGTGGTGGAGGCTGAGGTCAGCTTCTAACCACTTGTAAATCCTTGGCAGAAAGTTTGCTTCTAATAGTATTTCCTTCCCATTGCAGAATGACAGTCGAGGGAAGCACTTGTGGGGTCAGGCACTGGGAGGGGAATGTAGACTCTCTGCGTTGTTTCCTGGTGTGGGCTGGGGGGGTGATGGTGCAAATGGGGCTGGGAGCCACCAGCTGCCAGTGGGGGACCAGGGGTGTTGCTTCCCATGGTGCTGTGTGCAAAGTTGAAGGATGATGCTGGTTCCTCCTCTGTTTGGCCACAGAGCAGTCCTTTCCATCCATGTCTCAATTCATATTTGACTCATGACAGATCCTGCTTTGTTTCCATGGAAGTTTTGTGATGGTGTTCGCTTCAGGGGGTGGAGGGTAGGGTCCCAGACTACTCCAGTTGCTTGCAGGGCTCTGCTGAGTGGGCTTGTGGCTGAGCAGGATGGTGAGTCCTCCACCCAGGTGTTGTTTTAACAACCCTATTGTAAGCCCCACGTAATCTGTAATGTGCTGTCTCCGGGTGATGTCTGATGTTCTGACTGAAGAAATTGCAGCCAGGAAGGCGTTTGCGCATGGCAGGCGGCTTCTGTGCTCCTGCTCCAGTGGGAATCGTGCAGCTTCATCTGAGAGCTTGCAATTACAGGGATGCTTTGATCCTCAGAGGTGAGGCCGGGTAGTGGATCCAGTGGAAGGATGGGGGGATCTGATGGGTTTCTAAGGTGGCTGGTGCTGGTAATGTGTCCATTCCTGGGAGGCTGTGAGCAGCAGCAACCAGTTCCTCAGAGCAGAAGGAAGTGAGGTGCAGCGGAAGCTCTGCAGGGCTGCGTGTGCCGCCTGCGAATCACAGACAGAGGCAGAAACCTCAGAATTACTTAATGCTTTTTTTTTTTTTTTTTCCCTTCCTCTTGTGTTGCTGCTCAGACTCAACACTTCTGATCTGTGGCAGGTGGGAATGGCTGCAGCAGCTGCAGGAGCATGTCTTTGTCTGCATTGTGCAGATCATGCTGCAGCTGGGGACAAGGAAGTCCCCTCTACCTGGTAAGATGCCTCCAGGAGTGGGGCAATTAATGATTTGAGAGTGGGGATGGAAGGAGGTGATAATGGGTAGGTGGTAACCTTAAGTCCTAGCCCTAGCTGTGACTTCTCCCTGTTCTCCAGTGCTACACTGGCAAGGCACTAGCCATGGGAAACCAGCAGGGTTGGCACTAGGCCCTGGATTTTGTGTCTTTCTGGTGACAGAAGATCCATCCCAATGCCACAGACTGCATCAACTTTGCAAAGGCAGAGCACCTGGCAACAGTCAGACTCCAAACCCAATGCAGTGGAGATGGTGCTGGCCCCATCTGTGGCAGGTGGCGTGTCCTGCCATGAGGGATCCTACCTTGCAGGATTTCCGGTGATCCCTCAGGTCCCTGGGTTGTCTGGATTGGAGTCATTCCACAGGGTGAGCTCTGGGCCTCTGAAATGGGGACATCTCCTTTTCCATCCTGGATACCCCATACCCTTTCTGCCTTCCCACCCTGGGCTTTGGCAGACATGAGCAACAGCAGGATCTCCCATGTGAAAGCCCACCCCTTGGTGACCGAGCCACCTCAGAACACTGGGAGAATTCTCCCCCAGACCATGTGGGCTTCACAGAGGGCTTCTGTTGAGGCACTGCAGCAGCATCAAACCCAATCCCAGGGGTGCAGCACCCTGTGTTGCCAGCAGCCATGTCTGTCAGTCGGCTGTGCTGCCCAGCTCCCTGCCTGGGATGGGGACAGAGCACATCCCAGAGTCAAGGTTACTGTGACAGCTTCCTGGTTCATTAGAAGCCCTTGGAGAATGAGTACATCCAAGCAGGTATTGGTCTCTGGATGATGTGGAGTCCTAGAATGGTCAGAATGGTTTCGGTTGGAAGGGACCTTTAAAGCACATCTAGTTCAACCTACCCCTGCACTGAGCAGGGCCATCTGCAACTAGAACAGGTTGCTCAGAATGCCATCCAACCTAACCTGGAATGCAAGGGATGGGGCAGTGACCACCTCTCTGGGCAACCTGGGCCAGGGGATCAGCACCCTCGGTGGAAAACTTTTTTTCCTTCTCTCTAGTCTAAGTCTCCCTCTTTTAGTTTAAAACCATCCCGTCTTACCCTGTCAACAGGCCCTGATAAAAAGTTCCTATCTTTCTTCTAGGCCCCATTTAAGCATTGAAAGGTGCAAGGTCTCCCCAGAGCTTTCTCCTCTGCAGCTGCCCAAGCCCAACTCTCTCCAGCAGAGGGGTTCCTCCCTCGAGTCATTGCTGGGACTCCTCTGGTCCCGCTCCAGCAGGTCCCTGTCTCTGCTGTGCTGAGGACTCCAGAGCTGCCCCAGCACTGCAGGGGGGTCTACGCAGAGCAGGGCAGAGGGGCAGGATCCCCCCCCTGCCCTGCTGCCCGCGCTGCTGAGGGGGCAGCCCAGGCTGCCAGGGGCTGCTGGGCTGGGAGTGCCCAGGGCCAGCTCCTGCCCAGCTCCTCAGCCCCAGCACCTCCAAGTCCTTCTCTGCTGGGCTGCTCTCAATCTCTTCATCCCCCAGACTGTATTAAAACTGAGGATTGCCCCAGCCCAGGTGCAGGACCTTGCTTTTGGCCTTGTTTGCCTCATGAGGTTCACATGGGCCCGTTTCTCAACCCTGTTCAGGTCTCTCTGGATGGATCCCGTCCCTCAGGCGTGTTGACCGCAACACTCAGCTTGGCGTCATCTGCACACTTGCTGTTGCACTTGTCTAGCGTTTTGCTGTGCTGGCCCTTTAAGGATGCCTTCTCCCCTCCGGCGGAGCTGGCGGTGGGTGGGACGTGGGAGGTGTTCTGCACCAACCTCGGGGTTCATTGCTCCGTCTCTCCCTCACTGACAGCAGGGTGGTCCCACTCCGTGGCTCTTGGAATGAGCAGGGAGGGGCTGCAAAGGGGAGGGGAGGCCCCTCGACGGCAACACCTCCACAGTCTTTGTTCCTCACCCATAAGGATGGTGTCCCTGTCACCATCCACCATGCCAGGCATGGGTGCCCCCAGCCTTGCTCACAATCCCTCCAGGTCCCCTTGATGCTCAAGTGGTCGGGACGGGCAGGGTCCCAGGCAGGAGCTGCCTCTCCTGCCTGCCATAATGTTGTAGATCCCAGCTCCCAAGGGTCTGCTTGCACCCAAGAGAGGTCAGGGTGGCTTTGAGTGTGTGGAGGATAGGACTCTGTGGTATGACAGGACAAAGCCTCTACAAGGATGTGAATTGACCTAACACCCCGCAACTTCCCACCATCCTCTGGGACAGAGAGAGGGGAAAATTACTGTTCTGCTCCCCCCTGGGGATGCTGACACCCCTGGTTTTGCTCTCTGGGAGGTACCTCAGCTGCAAAGCTGTGTAGGCCACAGAATTTCATTATGTGTTTCTGCCAGGTGGGAGGCTCAGATCTCCTTCCCAGTCTGACATCCTGACCTGATGCTGCGAACTACTTGTGGTCTAGTGGGCTAGCTGGCTGGCTCTGTGTGTTTGCAGCAGTGTAGGTACTGTGAAGTTTCACCTCTTTCAGGTACCAGGGTGGGGAAGGGGCATCCAGCCCTGTGCATGTCTGGGGTAACCACGTTCCAGCTTTGAATGGCATGTCCTTTGTCTTGTCACCTGCCCCTGATGATGCCCACTTGGGCCTGGCAGGGGTGAGTGTCGCTGTCTCAGTGCAAGCACTCTTGATTCATGGTGGTACCTGTGGCAGTGATGCCTCACTTAGAGAAGCAATTCTGGGGTCCAAGCAGCAGCCAAAGCATGAGCTGGGGGGGGAGAAAAGGGGTGAGAGAAGAGCCTCTGGCACCTCAGGGCTCTAACAGGCACCTTTTCATCAGGCATGAAAAGTCCTTTGGCCGGCGTTCATGACAGCTGCCCTTTGTCTGGGGGCGCGATGTGAAGGCACCATTGTGGAAGGGGAAGAGCACAGGGAGGGCTTGTACCTAGCTTCCAGTCTGCCAGGACGTGCAGTTTCCCTGCGAACGGGAAGAGAGCTGTCGGAGCAAGTGACTCAGGCTGGCAGAAGGGAGGCCGGGGGTGGCAGCTTCACTGATACTAGTTC